ATGTCACCTTTCGATAACTCCTGTTGAAATACTCGGTTATTTAGCATGAAAACAGTGTAACCTGAGTTCCTTCATGTCCATGGGTCTAAAGAAAACTTCATAAATATAAATATGTAATAGTTTTTGTCAATTATTTCACGGTTGTATCTTATCGACTCTTCCCATGAACCCCTTTTGTTGTTAACCTCCAGGGGGTGGCTGGAGATCTGGGATTATGACCAATCTCCAGGAAATCAGTTCCCCCTGGAGAAAATGGCCACTTTGGAACGTGGACTCTATGGCATTATGCCATGCTGCGGCCCCTCCCCTTCCCAAACCCCACCCTCTCCTGAGGCTCCGCTCCCCAATCTCCAGGTATTTCCCAGCCCGGAGCTGGCAACCCTTCAGGGGCATCTGCCTGACCCGTGTTGGAAGCAAGATTTTGGGACGGGATAGAACCTTGGCCTATCCAGCGGAGTGTCTATGTGTCTTCTCACTGTGGCATTTGGTTTCCCCTGACTTCTCAGTTCTTATAACACCCCTGCTTCTCCCAGATACTCACTTGGGGCTGGGGGAACCTCCACCTGCCATGCCTCCAACTGGGGTTTCTCTTCCTCCAGAAAGAAGCTCAGTTGGAGAGAAAACAGCTGCAGCTCTCTGAAGAGGGTTTCTTTCTTCTTGCTTTTCCTTTTCCTCGAGAGAAACAAACAATGTGACTTGGCAGGATACATTATTACCAGTGCTGTCAAAAGTATACAGAAAGGGACACGGTTCATTGTTTCTGTTTTAAAGAGCAAGTGTACCATATAATGGTGGAGAAGGAAGGCTACATCTAGATTTGGCTCAATCCCTTTTCTCTGTTCCATTGGCTTTGTGTTGATTGCCATCCTTTCCCCCAAAGTTTCTCCTCTCGTTGATAAGTTAATTTAAAAGTCTGTGAAACTTCATGGGGGGGGGGGATCAGTTTGAGAGAGAGAGAGAGGTGCCCCATTACTGTTGACCCCCTAGCCCACTTGACTTCATCCTCTCCATCTCCAGCTTTTCAGCTCCACCTTGAAGGCACATTCTCTTCATCCACCAACCTCAGGCCTAGCTTTTGGAGGAGAAAAGAAGGGGGCGTGTTTCTCACCTTGTGCTAGCTTAGCTGAGGACCTGGCAGGAAGAGATAATGTGTCTCCATATGTTTCCTCTTGAAAAGTACCGGCAAACTAGCCATTAAAGTCCATGGGAAAGTCCTCAGTGGGATGTTGCCCCAGTCCGAGACCACCACCACCACCCCCGCTTTATTTCCTCCTCCCTCAATGAGGTACTTTGTGGAATCCCATCATTGTCAGCAGAGTCCCGACTCCCCCTGCTGGGCAGGCCAGATGCTGAAATGCAGCCGTCCTCCGCAGGGACTGCATTGCCCAGCCCCATCACTCTTGCTTTGGCTGGCTATGCAGTCTCTAGTAGCTGCAGCTCATCATCACCTGGCCACGGTAAGCTCTGGTTGCACTCTGCCACTGCCGGCTGATGGTGGTGATGAGCCATGGCCACTGGTTCCCATGGCCAGCCACCACAGGAGAGGCAGAGTTTCACAACTGTGGTACATCCTAGGCCTGCTAAGTTGTGATGGGGCCAGGGCATGACTCGCTATGCCCCGGCCAGTCTGGTCTGCAAATAATGTGATAACTGGCAAGCAGGCTTCCTTTCCCTCCAGCTAGCTTTTCAGCTGCATCAGGTGGGTGCAGTTACCCTCCCCTGGCTGATCAGATGTTCTACCTGCTTAGTGCTATTAGAAGAGGAAAGCAGAGGGTGGGGCCACTATGAGGCCATTTTCCAACGCTGCTGTTTCCCAGTCCTTTCCTGTCCTAAAGAGATCTCCTGGATTGAAGGTAACAGGATGTTTCCCACTTTATTGCTGTAACCTGTGTTTGCTTTCCCTTTCTTTAGAACAAGCTATTAATGGGGTGTGTGTGTGCGCATAGTATCAGAAATGTATGGGGTTCTTCTCCAAGTAATGTTCTGGGACAGGCATTTGCTCTGTCCTTAGAGCAAATCTGATTTTCTTTGTGTGTGTGTGTCACTTTGATGCTTGAAACTGCTGCCAGGATCCTCTGTCAGCAACATGGTCTCTTGTCCCACATGAATGCACACCAGTCCTATTTACAAGTTACAGTGAACACATGTATCATCCACTTACAGTGTAAATGTAGTTTTTTAAGTGCATGTGTTGAGTAATTCTTATGTGACATTCAATGCATGCACAGGTGATTGTGTGATACAAACCCCACATTATTAAGTGAATTTGTGTTGGCTCTTTCTTATAAACAGATACATATGTGTGTTCACTCTCTGGTGGGAAGAGGGCTACTGTGCCTTCCAAATCCCACCTTGATTGTGGTGAGGGTCTACCTTAATTTTCAACATGTCCCTCTGCTGAGATATTATGTTGAGCTGGCTAGTTGTAGTGGTCCATTTTTACCATTTTAACTAGCTGCAATTTTAACTGGTTCAGCTTCCACTCCAAGATTGTGGTTCTACCAGTTAACTTAAGGGGCGGGGAGGGGAATGTATGTTCCAGTCTTAGCAAAGGCTACCATGTGCATGTTACAAATGACGCTCTGGATAAAAGACACCTGCTTTTTTGAAGTGTAAAGTGAAAACACAAAAGTGCGAGTGAGGCAGAACTCTCTTGAGGCCTTTTGGTTCGCCCCTTGCGCTCGCTCAGGCGCTCTCTCTTCTTCTTCGCAGCTTCTCCCTGGATCTCCAAAGAGCACCTCTGGGCTCCTCCGTCCTCAGCGTCTGACATGGTCCTCCTCCCGTGTTGTCTGCCTGCCTGCCCTGGGTCTGGCCTGGGAGGCTTTATCTCCTCCAGCTCCTCTCTGGTGCAGCCGGGAAAGCCGCCCAGTGAGGGGAAAGGGGAAGGGGGGGGGATTCCCGCGCCTTGCCAGATGTGGGAAAGGAGACTCCTGCAAGGGTGGGTGGGGGG